GGATCGAGTCCTAGATTGGGGTCCCTGCTCAGCGGGGAGTCTGCTTCTCCCTCTGACCCTCTTCCCTCCTGTGCTCTCTGTCTCTCATTCTCTCTCTCTCAAATAAATAAATAAAATCTTTAAAAAAAAAAGAAGAGCTAGCCCTACGTAGCAGTCCAAACCCCCTCATGTCTAGCAAACTTGCCTTCCTTAAAGTTATGGTATTCAAGGAAAAAAACACTTTGAGAAGACTGAAGAGACTGAACTGGAACACCAAACTTTTCCTCATAGATACATATATCTTAAGAGCAACAAAATAGACAATTCCCTCGATATAAGCAATTATTAAAATGCCAAAGAAAGGCCTATCTATGATTTAAAATTCCCATGACATGGGGCGCCTGGGTGGCTCAGATGGTTAAGCGTCTGCCTTCGGCTCGGGTCATGATCTCAGGGTCCTGGGATCGAGCCCCACATCGGGCTCCCTGCTTGGTGGGGAGCCTGCTTCTCCCTCTCCCTCTACTGTTCCCCCTGCTTGTGCTCTCTCACTCTGTCAAATAAATAAATAAATAAATCTTAAAAAATAAATAAATAAATAAATAAAATAAAATTCCCATGACACTCTAATGAAGATACTGCTTATTTCTACCTGGGAAGCATGGAATAAAAAAAGTATACACATCTAATTATGAAAATTCCTCACCTTTCTTGTAATTTCTTGAGTTTCTCGGGGTCTGCCTTTATCTTAGTGGCTTCCTTTTCATCCAGGAAAGCAGAGACTGCCGGTCTGTTTCCATTATCATTTTGATTTGGGAAATCAGAAACTGCAAAGAAAGTAAAAGGTATGTTTTCTTGCAGGGACCCAGGCACATGCAAATGGCCTTGTAAGTTCATTCTTGATGGAGAGGAGCTGGAAGACTCCACCAAGGACAAGTTGCTTTGAGGATGGAGTAAGAGGTCTTCTGTGTATAATGGAGCCCCCTGTGATGGGCTTGTTAAAGTAACATCTTCTGCTCCCCTGACATCAAATTTATGTGCACTGTTTACTGGAAAATAACTATGGTTTTCAGCACTGACATATGGATTCCTATTTCTAATGGGGGACAGTGGTCGACGAACATTAAACCTTGAGTTTCCCTCTGAGTCTGCACCGTGAACGAAGGTAGACGACATTGACAAATCTACTGGAATATCCTCTCTCATAGCAGAATGCATTAATGATCCAGAAGTGTTATAAGATGAATTCACTGGTGATCTTGGAGCCGTTGGCCTACTAGAAAGAAAATGGTCAAGAGAACTACTAGAACTGTTTAAATAGGCGTGCCAATCTCTTTCGTAATCGCAGGTACCAGGCCTATCTTCCATTGAAGTACAATCTCTAAATCCATTTTCAGCATTGAGGTCACCATCTAGACTAGTGTCGGATTTTGTGTCCCATGAAGGAAAGGTGCCATCCTCATGTTCACTGTTACCACTGTCATTGTCTTTAGGAGACCCCCCGTCAGGTGGCTCGGGGTCTTGAAACACCCTTGGCCCAACAGGAGATGGCTCTCTCACTGGCACCATTGTATTGCTTATTCTTAACGAGCCATGACTGGACTCATTTCTTCTTACAGAATTAGCTCTGCAATTTTCAGGATTTTCTTCAAAATTTTTATTTTTGGCCTGAGAGACTGATATCCCAAGAAATCGACTTCTCTTATGATTGGGAGGAGAACGAGGCGGGTGCATACCAGCCAATAAAATTTCTTCCTCTACTAGGGTCTCTTCTTCAGTGTCATCACCTTCTCCTCCAGGGTTTAATGACAAAATGGAATAAAAATCTTCGTCTCTGAACCTAAATGGTGCCCTTCTTGGTCCTCCCGTGGTGGTGGTTTGGAGTGGTGGCCCCAAGGACTCACTCAACACTTGAGGGCTGTTTGTTCCTTGGAAGGCCTGACATAGGCCTGGATGTGGCTCATTCTGGGAAAGAGCACTTGGGTCTCCTTTTTTGGCTCTCTCAGGGGTATTCTCAGTCATGGTCATTAGCTGTGAGGATGAAACTAAGCTTCTTCTCTCTCGAGTTGGCCTCTTCGGCTTAGTGTCACTTGCACACATTGGGCCCTCTTGTTGAACTACTGGATCTGCATGGAGAAAAGACAAGTTTATCATTCTCCTATAGGTGCTCATGGATGAAAGACTTCTAACACCAAGAGGGAGAGTCCCTCAAGGCAACAAAGAAGCCTAGAGAAGAAAATATGCATGGTTAAAATGGCTGGAGGTACAAAAGGAGGACAGTAGAGTTAGTTTCATTTTACTACTTCTTGGATTCTCCTTTTGTACATTTGTGGAGCTCAGGCTGGTTCTGGGGAGACGGGGTGACCCTGAGGATACAAGTCTTTTCTGCAGAAGCTTTGGGAAGACTGTCCAGTCCAGGTCAGCCAGGGCTGATAATGGGTAAATCTCTCAAATGATGGTTTTCGTTCCAGTATTTATGGAGAAGGAAAACCAGACCTCTACAAAAACCAGCAGTGCCTCCTCATCTGGATTCATTCAGCATACATTTATGACACTCCTGCTTCACACGCAGCTTTACAAAATCTTAAGGAGAGTATAATCTACCTTGGCAGATCGGCGGAAAGGCTCTAGAAGCTGGTGTCCAGTTACCCTGATGATTTTGGTTACATTTACTGCTTAGTGCAATAAAAATTATAACTCTCTCATGAGATCATTACCTTCTCTTTGTCACTAGCCCCCCAGTCGATCTGTAACCTCTGGCTATGATAGACTTCTTCCCCCCTACCTCCTGATTCTAAAGTATGAAGAGATGTACAGAGAGGAGGAGGCAAAGTGCCCAAATGGGTAGGAATTTCTAGCGGTGAAATCACATGGTCAAAACTTACCTTATAAAAATAACAAATAAGCACTACTTACTGAGGGCTTATACTGAACAGGCCAGGAACCATACTAACGGTATTACGTACACCCAGTTGGGCCTCACAACCCTAGGAAACAGGTACCACGATCACACCACACTGTAACTGAGGGCACCAAGGCTTAGGGAGGTCCCATCAGTTACCCAAGATCGTATTTCTAGTAAGTGATGGGGCGATCATTCGAACTCAAGCCTGCTACAGGTTGTGTCCCCTTAAGAAACTGGCTGGCCTTCCCATTTCCTCGTGAAAATGAGAATCTGTTTAATCCATTGTGATGTTGTGTGTGCTGCTCGGGGTTTTTTTACCCTCGCAATGTGGATAGGACCCTGAAAGTACTTCTCTGATCCCATTTCCCTTTCTTGTTCCTGCCCTGTCCCCCTTGTGCTGTCCTGCAGGATCTAATGAGGTGCTGCTGTCCTTATTGTTCAGTTTCTGAAGACACTCACCCCATAGAGGGCACGGGACTCCGAGGGTTCGGGAAGGCCTATGTGGGTACTAGCTCAGGCAAGGATTTGATTTGCAAATCCTCGGAGCATCTGGCCCAGCCAAGGGCCAAGTCAATACTGACTCACTTTAATGGAGGGCCTCGCGGGGAGCACCAGTTTCTAACGTCCTAATACTCTGTAAGCCTCTTTTATTGTTAACTGCATGGGACACTCAGCGACTACGCAGTGCGCATTTTTACTCATCAGCTCTTCCAGAAATCAGTTAAGCTCTACTCTCAGGCCCCTCGTGGGATTTAGAACCCCCAGTAAGGGATGTATCAGCAATTCCAGGAAGCTCTGAGCATCTGGCGGTGTGCGTATAGGAGTGGAGCTGGTTTGGATCGCGTTCTGAGGGACACATGCTTCTATGTGACCAACTGAATTCTCTTGATAATTTTTTTTTTTGCGGGGGAGGGGCGGAGGGAAGCGATAACAGGAGATTTGGAAATGCAGGCTCCGGTTGATTACTTTTCATTTTGAATTTGATGAAGGGCCTCGGAGATTAGCTAACCAGCGCTGGAACCTGAATGTTCTGGTCTGTCCCTGAAGACATCGCTGCCCCTCTGCCCTGAGCCAATTTAATTTGGGCGTCAAGACACCTACACAAAATCAGCAGCTAGGGCAGCTTCTGAAACACGGGACTGGACGCTCAACAGGAACCACAGGCGTTCAGAAGCCAGTGTCGCTGCGGGGCGGCTCCTGTGGGTCCCAGCGCACCGCAGGGAGTGCATCTTCACTCTTCTTTGTCACCACCACTGCCTTCCTCTTTAAGGGTTCAATCAGCCTTCCTGGCGTGTTTCCCCTAAAGGTGGCAGACTGCACCATTCTATATTTATGCTATTTTAACCCGATTTCTTACGTCTATCAGAGAGGGAGCAGATTTCATAGCTCTAGGGCTGGGACTAAACCCCCCCTTTGGTATGCCGGGATGTGCTGTTCATAGACCGGGCCCTACAGATTCTGCCGAATGCCTCTTGGGCCCCGTGTGGACTTCAGCTCAGAAGGGAGGGCCTCCCACATCCGGGAATTCAACTAGGTGTGACCGAATGTTATAGAGGCAACAAGATGAAGCCAGAAAAAGCATCTATCTACCCTCAGGCTATGTCTTTGGCCTAGACTTCTTCATGTGCTTGACCAACCAGTAGTTTTCCTACATTCCAACAGCCATAGACCTTTAACATTTTCCTCTGGTTATACAAGTAGTCGCTATTCATTTGGAGAAAATTTGGAGCTTTCAGAAGAAGATGAAAAAGAAGGAAAAAATCCAAAACTCAGATGGCTGTTGCTTATTTTCTGGAATTCAGAGGTGGGTTGCCAACTCAAGACCCCCGGGCTATTTTCATCCTGCGGTAGTGCTTTGGCTCAGCCTTTGCACTCTGAGGCAACCACCTGCAGGGGGAGGCTGTATGTTCTGGTTTACCTCAGTCCCCACAGCCTTGGATATGTGTTTCTCCTGCCATATCTGCCTGTTCCCTGAAGGCATTTGAATTTACAACTCCGAGCTCTCTAGACATACTTTTTCAAAAAAACCCAAAATTGGAATATTTGGGTACATACAACATTATGTCCTGCTTTCTTTCCCTAAACTTTTTATTGTGACCATGATCTCCTGCCATAAATTCGATTATTCTTTAAGAACAGGATATTAAGGGGGCGCCTGGGTAGCTCAGTCCTTAAGCGTCTGCCTTCGGCTCAGGTCATGATCCCGGG